TATATATTATATGTGTGTGTGTGTGTATGTGTGTGTGTGTGTGTGTGTGTGTATACATATATATATATATTTATATATGTATATGCTTTTATATACTTGCTTTTATATACTTGCTTTTATATCGTGTGGACTGTAGTACAAGTGTAAAATACCCATACTTTGGACACATTTCAATTACCAACCCAAGTAGAAGCGTTTGAATGAATAGTTTTGTACCATCCTTCGGTCTATACCTGAAGGATTTGCGAGCTCAGATACAATCCGCGAGTCTCGTGCCCACATTTGCATGGCCAAATGCACTTTCCCATTCCTTGCAGCAGCTTTCAACCACACTTTCTCGAGACGCCTGCTATGCTTCGGCAACCATACCACCACAGTCACAAGGGCGGTCTCGTTCACTTATATTACCTACGTACATCAGGATCATCAGGTTTAACAGCTACAGCTGAGCGCTGCGTTGGTTTCTGTTGAATGTGCTATGCCTCGGCATTCGTATGGCCCTATAGCTCACTCTCCTTCTTTTGTTCTATTCTGATTCTACCTACCCAACCCCCGCAGACACCAGCCCACAGGTCTCCCTGGAACAGGAAGCCGCAAAAGGTACCAACCCCACCCGCTCACTCGACCGCAAAAGCCCCCCAACCCCCGCAGGCGGGAGTGGACACGGGCATGGGCGTGTGTGCACACAGCAATACCTCAGCGCATGCGAACACGTGCGTCAGGCGGTCCTAACCGTTGCACCCGGGACAGTCCAGATTAGGGCCAATGAACGGGTGCAGTACATGCTGATGGCCCTATGGTCGCTCGTGCGGATGCCGGTGGGACTGCCTAAGTACTTTTTCCAGTCGCAGAGCAGGGTTCGATTGGATGTATGTTGTGTGTGTTGTTTGTGTTGTGTTTGGTATGTGTGTGTGTGCATATGAGTTTGGTATGTGTGTGTGTGCATATGAGTTTGGTATGTGTGTGTGTGCATATGAGTTTGGTATGTGTGTGTATGTGTGTGTGTGTGTGTGTGTGTGTGTGTTTGATGTATGTTTGATATGTTGTGTGTGTGCGTTTGGTATGTGCGTAGTATGCATGGCTGTTGCTGTCGGTTTTTATCACACATCTACAGTGTTCTTGTGTAGTCTGAGGTGTTTCTAATGTGTGTTGTGGTCTGTGCTTTATGTGTATGATTGTGTCTATCTGTAGTATATGTTTGGCGTACAGGCTCGTGGATTTGCCGGACAAGTATACGGTAGTATACATTGGTGTACGTACACCTATAGATCCATGCCTACCCGTGTATATATGGGGCTCTTATAAGGTGGAATTCATTGGTGTACATACACCTATAGATTCATACCTACCCGTGTGTATATAGGTCTGTTATAAGGTAGTGTACGTTTGTGCACATACACCTATAGATTCATACCTACCCGTGTGTATATAGGACTGTTACATGGTAGTACATATTGGTGCACATACACATATAGATTCATACCTACCCGTGTGTATATATGGCTGTTATAAGGTAGTGTACATTGGTGTACATCCATATATAGATACATACCTACCTGTTCGTCCAAAAGTCTGTCTGTGCCTCGCACACTAAGCCGCTTGAGCATCACTCGTAGTGCATGCTTCTTACCGCAGCCCTCCTGACCCCATTCCATAGGTCACCGTGAGTCCTCCTTCAGACAGCAAGGATCAGATTCACGTCAACGCCAGCCTTAGTCCCGAACTGTCAGTGGAGGTGGTGATGGCGTCTGTGGCGGGTAAGCGCCGTATCCGTGTGCACGCGTGTGTTTGGTTACATTCATATCGACTGTATGTTCGTGGATGTACGTATACATGCATGCATGCTTATACAGAGCCACTTTCCACCAACTGATCGTGTACTCCGGGTTGTCTAAGGGGTGACGGCGGTTTGTGGATGAACCTCAACTAAGCACAGGTAGGTACACAGCACAACCCCGGTAAACCTTAAAACCCTAAACCCCTATATAAAAAAGGGCTGGAAGTGTGGAGCTGAGCCTTTCTTGTTCTTGGGTTGTGCAGTGGACTCCTCCGTAGCAGCTGTACTTTGAACTGCCTTGTATGCCCTAGCCCACCCAATCACCCCGTCACAAACACGTACGAGTCCAATGACCATCACACGCATGAGGTGTAAGGAACAGGCGGCTGATATTCGGAACTCAGACCCAGAACACTTAGGACCCTAAACTCTTATGCCAGGCTATTCCATACTCTGGCCGCAATTTGTTTATGCACGGCCCTCGCTAATTCGTGTATGAACAGACCTGCACATGTATGTATGTATAAGTACCAAGTATATGCATTTGTATTTGTATATTTGTATGTATATGGCCTACGTACCTAAACACACAACCACCACCGAATCCTCAAACCCTAGAAACCCACTGGCTGTTTCGTACAAACTAGCGGTAGTGAGTTGTTATCCGCCCGTCTGTATACTACAGACACCCAACGGCTTAATCTGACTGGTATACCACTACCGCCAACCCCTGAAACATCGAGAGAGAGAAACCTCGTTTATACTGATAAAAAACCCAACCCCCCACCCGTAAACAGGCTGCTCCGCACATCAACTAGCGGCTAAGTACCGCATCAAGGGCTGTCAAGTCGTGGCGCAACTCACTCCCCACACACTCGCGAGCAAGCACAAGCCCATGCAGACGCACACACACGCACGCACGCACACGCACGCGTCTATAGGACACACCCCCGGGGTCTTCCAGACGTACATGGGCAAGTACACTACAGCCACTACAGCCACGGACGGGCACCCTTCGGCCTCCTATGCTCATACAGGTGTAGCACATGCACACGCGCCGGTGGTCGTGCGTGTGCGCGAGTCGTTTAAGCTGGGCTACACCAGCGGCACTTTTGTCATATCGCTGCAGCAGCTGGTCGCTGAGTTTCCGGCGGGTAAGTCCAGGGGCCTCGTGTGGTTTCATTCCGTTTTGTGAGCTTTGCTGTGTTTTACTTTGGTTTGGTTTGGTTTGGTTTGGTTTGTTTTGTTTTGTTTTGTTTTGTTTTGTTTTGGTTTGGGTTGGGTTGGGTTGGGTTGGGTTGTTAATGCTCGTCCTTGGTCTGCAGGATTGGAACGGGTGGATGCGCTCATCTCCGTGCTGCTAGTGGATGACGAGGATGTGCTGTGGCACACGGGACCTATTATAAGGAAAAAACTAGTTCTTTCGAAGGGACACTAAGCCCAGTATAAGGAAGAAACTAGTTCTTTCGAGTGGACACTAAACCCAGTATAAGAAAAAATGCCATTTATCTCAAGTGGACACTGACCCCAGTATAAGGAAAAGCCATTTATCTCGAGTGAACAGACAGTAAGCCCGGTAAAAGGAAGAAACTAGATCTCTCGAGTGTACCCTGACGCTGCCACGGACATGCTGTTTATGGGCGTTCACAATCGAACCTTTCGCATTCGCCGACGCTCTGCCTTCGACCTTGGTGACGCAAGACTTCCTTGCTTCTAGGGTTGTGGATTGTATTGTATAGGGACGTATAGGGTTGTAGGGGATATCAGGTGTGCGTACGAAGTCTGATACTTCCAGCCAGGCGATTTCAAGACCTCTTTGAGTTTGATCGATCTTCGGTGAAGTTCGGTACCGACTTGCAAGCTGGTCTACTTTACGGAATGGTGTACTCATATGCTCACACCTCAGACCCGCATCCTCGAATTCGCTAAAAGGATACATATGGCAAACAACAATCACACTCACTCGTTGTGTAGTGATGGTGCCAACGTAGTGCTTGACCTCGCAATGACATCTTACTCTCAACGCTTTTATGAATAGCAACGTTTGTTGCTCGGGTTTTCTCGTCGACACGTCTCAGGTTGTGCTTTGGTACTGTGGCAGGCTCGAAAGCGGTGTCAACCTTATATATATCTATATATATATATATATATATAGGTCAAGAAGTGTGTCAATAACCAAAAAGGAGTGAAAATGTCAACGGGATCAGAGACGGAATGCGGGGAATGATCTATATACTCCCTCTTCCCCCAGTACCCTGACAACACTGTACGTGACAACACTGCATGGTCCCATCCTATGCTGCGGAGGTAAAAATATGTCCGAACCGATGTGCACCTGAGAATCATTCATCTCGGAGAAGGCCCAGTCGTAGCCCACAAACCACAAACCTGTGGGTCTGTGGTAGCAATCCTGTAAAGTCTGTGGTAGCAATCCTGTGAGTCTGTGGTAGCACACTTGTGAGTCTGTGGTAGCACATCTGTGAGAGTGTATGAATCCAAGGTATTGGTAGGTATGACTTCTTTGCCGCTTAGGCCAGTACGGTCCCACCTCAACCAAGCCAACCCAAACCAAAACGGGGCCATAGGGATCTATCTGAGGTATAAGTGTATATGAATCCAAGGTATTGGTAGGTATGACTTCTTTGCCGCTTAGGCCAGTACGGTACCACCCCAACCAAAACAAAACGGGGCCATAGGGATCTAAGGTACTAGTGTTTATGAATCCAAGGTATTAGTAGGTATGAGTGAATTGCCCTCCGACGGCTTCGGCTCAGCGTGAAGGCGAGTGCAGTGCAACTTTGCGAACACGTTGATTTCACATGTTTATATCACCCGCCGATGCTCACCGGCGAAGGGGATGGGGGTTTACGACAAGTCATCTGCGACGTCGGAATATGTGACGATTTGCAGACATCCACGTTTGCAACAGTACGTGTGTTTGCGCTGATAGAGTTTACGACATTTCCCACGAGTTTGTCCACAGCATCTCAGCATCCGGTTGGTACGTCTAACATCGCCTGGACCACTTCAGACTGCTCACACCACAAATACTGTAACGAACATTAAATATTAGTCGATCGAAGTCCTGATGTAGTGACTGATTATCTTCGTCTCGGTGTCAGCGGGCTATAATTCTACTGGAAATTGCAATAGCTCATTACGCGCACCGCTTCAGGCGCAGTAGCCGAGTACGCCTGCATAGTCTGAAGGGCTATGTACGGCAAATGATTTTGTTCAGATTAAGTAGTTTAAATCCACGCATTCTGATTGGTCAGTCGAAAACTTTGCCTTTTAAGTGCATCCATCTCGGAACCCGAAGCATACGAGTTGGCAGGTCGATAGTTCTACGATACAGATTTGCTTTTGAAATAAAATAGGCTGCAGCCGATAGTAGACAAATAAACAGTCGGTTGTAGTCCGTCGCTCGTGAGCTGTCTGTCGAGTAGATGTTTAGGCCAGTTATGTGCACATGCTCAGCGGTTAATCGAGTTCCACGGACAGTAACAAGTGATGCTACGTCATAGCCTTCTATGTTTGATTTGGGAGGCTACGACATCAACACCCCCCCACCCCCCACCCCAAAAAAAGGGCCTATTTAGCCGCGCAGTGTTGACTACCTTCCCTCTAGTTAACTGTCTCATTGATAGTAACGCTGTGGGGTGATCAGGCCATACACCACACTGTATTCTATCTATGGAGAGACTGCTGTGAGCATGCATACACACATTGCAACACAACACCTGCTATCCTTGGTGACAAAGGGGCCCTCGACCTCTCACAGGCCACAACAGATGAGTTTAAGTCAGTAGTAATAGGCCCGAAACGCCGCGATCTGGCTATGGGCAGGGGTATAGGCCCCATCAGATAGTATGTTTATAAATTCATAGCAAACTGTAGGGCTCAAAAGACCGTACCACCGACATGTGTATACTGCTCGCCTACCGATTTTTCGCGCAAACTAAATATAATATACGTGGACATCCATACATACATTAACACATAAATCCTTACTTGCATCCATACATGCCCAGATGCCCGGGCATATTGATTTGCACCTCCTTTGGGTACTCCACAATGAATCCACATGGTCAACTCCGGTTCGAAACTTAGTAGTGTTCCATAAATGGTTCTTGTCACGTCGCAAGGCGAAGACCAGCCCATACTATTAACAGTAACGCAACTGTAACAAATGACCAAGGAACAGTCTTCATTTGTGTTTATTTGTCTATACATATATTACCTATAACACCACCCACTCAACAAAGATACCCCACTGCCTATGTATTCTAAGTAGAGGTGCATCTGCACTGAGTTGAGCTGATTGCTTCTATCGTACCTCTTTAGCAGCTAGTTAAACTGGGACAACGTCGAGACTCAGCCCTCTGCCCTCGTTTTAGGGATTCCGGACTACAGGACAAAGTGGGGCCTCTGGAGTCCAACTACACATGTCTGCCGGCTTGGTCATGGTTGTTGCAACAAACAATCGTATCACACAGCCGTCATACGCATGCTCTCGTATTTAGTGCCACGCTCGTTCGTGTTTGCTGTATATAACCGTTTCTATCGCGCACGTCCGTGATACTTTTAATCAGGTAAGCTGCTAGTGCGAGGAGACGCCCAACATACGAAACGATAAACAATATCCCCAACACGTTCTCGTTGTCCGCCGCCGTACTAACAAATACGTTTGTGTTTGTGTACAACGGACGCAATGGGAGCGCATAAACAGTGTACATCTGCGATGTCGAAACTCGCACTGATTGGCAGTCTTTGTTCATTTCCGCCCCCACCCGGTTAGGCTCTGGAGAGAAATGCTTGCTATCGTATGCCTGGTATTTGTCTCTCATCTTGATACTAATTGGTCACTCCCACGAATTTGTACCATACGCAGTACATCCACACACCCGTGTTTGTGTTGAAACGCGCCTGACAAGCCAAGATCATTGATAGATGTCCCCTGCACAACGCCTCAGGCCGAGCGCTACACTCCCAGAAACTAAAGTTTAGTCCACTATGCCCCATCAGGTCCTGATCTGCTGCTGCACGGCAACTGACCTACGCACAGTACGACCACGCCACGTCCCCGATTCCTTTTTAACTCCGTCTCTTCTCATACCCCCGTCTTCTCATCACGGTGGCCATCGCCCACCACAGACTCCTCCTCCTTGTCGTCCTTGTCGTCGTCGTTGTCCTGATCTCTGGAGAAGTGCTTCACATCAAAGGACCATCTCCCCGTGTCCCAGTCAAACACGGACTTCTCCGCTCTAACCGTCTCACACGCCCGGCCCAGAGTCCTCTCCCACCGCGACTTCTCTGCGGGATCAAAGCTCAGTACGGCCGGTCGACTATCCCCATTATGCTTCGGGTAGCAATCGAACAGTGTAATCCTGGCCGGCAGATTAAGCCCCGTGCCGGGCAGGGGCTTGGTGAACCCGCCTTTCTCCGGGCACTCGTACACCTCCACCTGCTTGCGTGCAAAGCACACGACCGCATCCAACGGCGCATTGCGGTGCAGCTCCCGCAGACTGGCGACGTTCACGGGGCGGTTGAACATGATCTTCCCGAAGTCTGCGCTGATGATGGTGAAGTCCTCCACGTGCGACAGCTGCGCCAGCGTCATGTCCTGCAGCTCAGGCAGGGACGGCTGTGTGTGCATGTCTACGCCCGGCGTGATTTCAAACAGCCGGTAGTTGGGCTTGTTGCGGTGGTTCCGCAGGGCCGCGCTGTTCGCACCTGCCCCCACGCCCACACCCACACCCACACCCACCCCCACGAGGTGCGGGTTGCTGATACTGTGAATCCCGCGGGGCACTCCCAGCCCACCCACATTCAGCGACCCTGTCACGTAGTCCAGGTCCAGATTGGTGACAGAGGGTGGCGGGGTGAAGAACTTGGCCGCCTGAGCCGAGTGAGGCCTGGACCGGATGGGTGTAGTCAAGCCCCCCCCGAGCCCTTGTGCGTGCAGCTGTGTCTGGGTCTGTGTGTGGGTGTTAGTCTGGGTTGGCGGTGGGATATGCAAGTTCGACCGGGCCACACCGTCCAGCGAGGACGCCAGGCTCTTCATACTCATGTTCGCACTGGCGGTGGTGTGGGTCTTGGCGGTAGCGGTGCTCGTACTGTTGGTTGGGTCTAGCGGCTGCTTCGTACTCGGATTGGGTCGGTTAAAACTGTGCAGCCGGCTGGCAGGCTGGGCCGGCCCGTCCTTGCGATTGTCCCCGCCCTGTGCACCCTTCTCCTTGTCCTTGTCCTTGTCTTCCGCTCCACTGGATGCCTTCGGCACAGCTGTGGTCGCCGCAGTGGTCGTAGCCCCACTTGACCCGTCCTGCGAACCTCTCGCCCTGCCCTCACCCCCGGCCCTGTCCGCTTTCAGCGCAGTGTTGGGCGCCTCTTTGTCCTGCCCTTCACCGTCCCGCTGTTGTGCCGCGTTGGGTGTGCTGGTGGTCGCCGGCTTGCCGTTGCTTGCGCTCTCCTTGGCCTGCGCACTGCCTCCCACTCTGAGCTCCATTTGCGTGGTCCTGTGACTGCCCAGCGGGTGCAGCTGTAGGTGACTGCTGGGCGTGGCCCGTTGCAGTGTATGGGCTTGGTTGCCCTGCCAGAACGCCGTGCTGATGGCATCGGGCTCTCCGTAGTTGCGCACACACGACCGCACCTTCTGGGTGCTGGGGGGAGTGTACGCGTAGAACGGGTACTGTTGTGGCTTGCTCTCATTCTGCTTGGCCCGACGCTGCTGCTCCTTGTGCTTCTGCTGTAGTTGCGACTGTTTCCGCAACTCTTCCCGAGCCGCCGAGTTGTCACTGCCGCCAGGACCTGCCCCTCCTGCCTGTCCACTGTTGCCTGTGAGGGCCGACGAGGGCTGGCCAGAGACTGCAGCCGTACCAAATCCCTGTACTTGCTGTTGTGGCTGTGCACCACCCGTTCCCAGCTGCAGACCAAACGCATTTGTCGGTGCTTGTGTCTGTGTCTGTGTCTGTGTTAGTGTCTGTGGTAGCGACTGTGCCTGTGCCTGAGTCTGTCCTTGTGTCGGCGCCTGAGTAGTCGCGCCGCCAAAGCCACCGAAAGTGCCTTGCTGTGGTGTCTGTGCAGGGTTCGTTCCCAGACCCGTTCCGGGTGTGGCCCCCGCCCCAAACGCACCACCGCCGAAACCACCAGTAGGCTTACTGGGCGTGGAAAATAGGCCCCCAGCACTTGTACCAGTACCCTGGGTCTGCGTACTTGCTCCGAAGCCTCCTCCAGTTGTGGCTCCAAATCCGCCAGAGGTCCCGCTGAAACCTCCGCCGGCAGTCTGGGATGCAGCACCAGTAGCTTGCTGGCCAAACAACCCACCCGCGGGAGTGGAACTATTCGTGGTGTTGTTGTTCGCGCCGAAGAGCCCTCCAGATGGCGTCCCAGTGGCACCTGAGCCCGCCTGGTTTTGAGCCGTTTGTCCGAAAGGCTGTGCGCTCCCATTGGGTGTGAAGCTTGTCATGCCTGTCGCGCCACCAAAGGAATTACTGGCCGGTGCACCAAACCCACCCGTGGCCGCAGCGGGTTGGGCTGTGCTTCCAAAGGGACCTCCGCCCGTGTTTGTGGCGTTGGTAGTCGCACTCTGACCGAAGCCCAAGGTCTGGCCCGTTCGCGCCTGTTGCGCTGCCTGGCCGAATCCACCCCCACCAAACGCCGAGGTGGCGGCTGGTTGAGGTGTGCCAAATGCAGATACCCCCGCACTCTGTCCAAAGGCATTGGTTGTGGTATTGGCGGCGGGTGTGGCTTGGCCGAAGGCGCTGGTGGTTGTATTGCCTCCCAATGCCCCGAAACCTCCGGACAAAGTCGTATTCTGGGCTGCCTGACCAAACCCACCTCCCGGAGTTGACCCAAACGCACCAGTAGTGCTACCGAACCCGCCCGTCGCAGCAGGTGTACTTGCCCCAAAGCCGCCGGTAGAGAACCCAAATCCACCTCCCGTACTACCTCCACCAAACGCCCCGGTTGTACCAGCCGCTGGTGTGCCAAAGCCCCCGGTTGCTGGTGCAGCCCCAAACGGAGAACTCTGCTGTGGTTGACCGAACGCACCCGCACCCGAACTTGCACCAAAACCCGAAGAAGTGGTCCCAAATGCACCTCCCTGACCAGTATTTTGAGCCGAGGTCGCCCCGAACGGTGTGCTGGCACCAGCAGTCGAGCCAAACCCACCTGTAGAACCAACTGCCCCAAATCCGGTACCTGGACTCTGGCCAAACGCGGAAGTGGCCGTCTGACCGAACCCGCCCCCTACAGACCCGCCGGACATACCGGAGCCCTTCCGGTTAGCCTGGTAGTCTTCCCAGCGTAGCTCCTCCCGGCATTTGTTCTCGTAGGCTGGCATGGCGGCGATGCACGTGTGCTGCACCATGGTTTTGTTATCGTCGAATCTGGTGAGTTGGAATTGGGTGTGTCCGGTGCCCGGCTGGTTGCTGGTACCACTGGCGGCGCCAAACCCTGTGATTGAATGGATGTCAGGTAATGCCCCAATGGTCAGTAACGTTCGATTGAATGCTTGACACTGACATCGAGCAGACGCATCTCATCCAGTCGATAGGAACACTACATTCATATGAACATAGACAGGCACCTATATCTATCGTCTACCTTGATGTTTATTCAATCACACCATGTCGAATAATGGATATAATACCCATCGCCTTTCGCACCGTGATAGCATTCATAAATACGAGTAAAACGTGTCAATTCAACATAAACGGGCCCTGATCATGGCGTGCGCTGTAGGCCATGATACGTCTTTGGTATCACTGCGTCCCTTTTATTTTAATACTAAGTCAAGGGGAACTAGAAAACAAACTAGTCCTCCCGATCTTGCACACGGCTTTGAGTTTATTGGACAGTTGTATCAAGCATACAGTCTTACCTGACGAACCACCAAAGCCAGTGGTATGATTCGCTCCTCCGAACGCACCAGAAGTGGCCCCGAATCCACCGCCGCCGGTCGCACTCTGTCCAAAGGCGGACGGTTTTGCACCTGTGGTGCAATTTGGATAAAGAAGCATTGTATGTACATCAGAACTGAATTACATATACGTTGACCACAAATTACATATACGTTGACGCGCCACACGCACGCAGATTTGAAATCGTGCATACATGAAACCAAAGTGGAACATCTGCCCCTTTGGTTGTGGTGCGTTTCTGTGCACCCCACATGAGTACACACGCACTAAATAGGATGGATTCTACACGCTCGATGCTAGTATCTTATTGGTGCAAGTAACACCGCAAGCAGGTCCCTCTACGATGACTTACACGCATGGACAGACCGTAACCCACGAGGCACAGCCAGTTATAGACTAATCTCACTCCAGCTATACCTAGTTAAAATCTCGTATATCAAACAGCATAATAGCATGGACGCGCAAATTCAAATTAGATGTGATGTCTAGTGTCTACATAACAAATATAGTCTAAATATTGATGGTCAATACAAAAAATAAACAAATTGTGCATGAAGTTAGTATTTTTCCCCAGCACCCCTCTCATAGCACAACCGACAGCAACAGATTCGCCCACGTACCGAATCCGCTCGCCGTCGAAGATCCAAACCCGCCGCCAGTGTTAACCGCACTACCGAAGCCTCCACCAGCATTTGCTGTCTGACCGAAAGCCGAGCCACCCGTGGCTCCCGAGGACCCAAATGGACTTGCCCCAAACCCTGCGTTTTGAGCCGGTTTTGCCCCGAAGGGCGAGGCTGTGGCTGTACTGGTGCTACCGAATCCACCTGATGTTGCACCAAACCCGCTGGGCTGTGCGGCACCTACAGTGATGTTCAGAATGGACGTATTAACAATGTTGCTTAGACATAAGCAGAAAGTAAAAAACCAAACAGCGTGCACATGCACAAGCTCTAAGCGACAAAATGATGCACGAGCACCAATTGAAGGTACCCGTACACACATGGTAAAGGTCTCTATAGTATTGTGCTAGCAGCTGGCATTGCCACATCGCCACACTCCCCTCAATGACCCATGGGCGTACACTATTCGCATATAAATACACAGAAGCTCATAGCCGCCCATACACAGCCAACATCGAATACCTACCATGGAATGCAAGCCATCCTAGAAACGGTCCAACACTAACAACCAATACAACCCCGCTATAACAGCCCTCATATACCAACATCACTCTGGCTAATAACTATCATCTTAGCATACCGAAACCACTAGATGCGGCTTGTCCGAACCCGCCACCGGTAGCGGCCGCCGGTTGCCCAAAAGCCGACGATGTGGCGCCAAACCCACCCGCTGCTGCCTGAGGTTGACCAAACGCCCCTGTTGAACCAAACGCACATGATGAAGCAAATGCATTCTGGTAAGTTCTATAAACATATTGTGGTTTTTATGTGTTATAAATTGGTTTTTAAGCTATCAGGGTCCAAGGGCCTCGACAAGAGGGGTGCAGAATGCAAGTTTATACTCTATCCCACGAACAAACAAACAAGCTCTAGGAGCCGAACTATATACACGTACAATATCATGCATAGATGGTGAAAAGTGCGTGCCGTGAATGTTTTGTTTCAACGTCACTACAGATATATAAATCAAACTACACGATATTTAGGTCAAAATAAGCCCGAAATTGGTGAGGTTAGTACACGAATATCCGGTCCACTCGACACAAGACTCTCACCTGCTGCTGGCTGTTGCCTGGCCGCCGATCCGAAGCCGCCGCCGCCAAAAGCTACCAGTGGCCAAGACAAACAGAGGTGAGGTTAGCAATCAGATATAAGAATATATACATGTGGAGCATAGTAGGTAAAAGAGATACATTTGTTCACTGATACACAATGTCGCAAAACTGCTTATTGTTCATGAGAGACCAATAAGATTATACTCAGATAATAGGTTGTGTATACGTTTATATGTATTTATATATA